TAATTAAAGTCTACTGTTTCACAATCAACAGTCAACACATGGCTTTTTGGCTAGATTTAAAACAAGGAAAAACGCCTACCACTCCAGCCCCAGAACCACAAGTCTCACGCAGCATGCAGCTATGCATGTACACCAGCACATAGACCTCTGTACAAGTGCTTTTGAGGGTTAAATCTACAAATAACCACATTTCACTAAACACCCCCAATCACGCAAATGATCCAGTCACACTTCAGAAGAGCCTCAGAAAATGTGAACTTTTCCGCTCTAATCTAGATCTAGATCTAGATCTTAAGCGGATCTTCCTGGCTTTCAGATCAAAGTCATCTGATGCTAAATGAATAACTAAAAAAGGAGCGTTTCTGTGTGTGATTAATGCCTTTCTGTCAGATAAATGATAGTCTATAACCATATCTCTAAACATAGAATACTCCTGGCTAAACATCCAAAGACTTTTAAGTGTTTAATTGTGCCCTACAGTCTTCTAAGAGTGCATCGGTAAAGTGCATTCATATAGGCCATACAACCTAAGTGCAGTCAATGAGAACTGCTTTTAGGGCCACATCAATGATCCTGTCTGTGTCTACTGAAAGAGCAGCAGACAAAGAGAAATATAGGTTTATTTGCAAACGAATGTTCAATTACCAGACTATTGTTTCATCGTGTCCCTTAGTTTGCACTTACAATGGAAGTCTAGCAAGCAAGATGGCTAAGGGGTTTAAAATAAAATGAGATAAGATACACAAGAGCTGCTGCTTCACAAGGACCCCAATTTGGAGTCTGACCTGGGTCATGTCCCGATCCCCTTCCCGCTCTTTCACCCATAATTTCCTTTCTCTATGCCACTTTAGGGTAACACTTTACTTAAAGCATTTATGTATAATGCATTATAAAGAGTTATTAAAGGGTATAAGGCATTATAATTATTCATAATGTGCACTGTAATACATTCTTGTCGTAAATAATTATAACCAAATTTAAAATGCATAGGGAAACAATGAATTAAATAAGATGAATTTAACAATGAATAAGTGTTAAAGTGTTACAATTATTCATGAGATTGTACAATGCATTATAAGGTGCATTACAAGGCATAAGAAATTTTATAATGCAGGCTTTAAGTAAAGTGCTACCGATATTTTTAAAGAAAGGATTTAAAAAAATAAAAATAAAAAAAGCAAAAATGTGAACCTTGTTTCTTGAATTAAAATGTTCCATATTTAGTGTTATGGTTATGATTCAGAAACGATTGTTATGATTGAATATTTAAAATGTATTTTATGATGCTGCTTTTTTGCCCACTATTGTATATTTATTACTATATATACACTACTGCTCAAATGTTTTGAGTTGGTAAGATTTTGTTTTTTGCTTTTGAAAGATGTCTTTTATGCTCAGAAATAAAAAAATGTACTTCAAATGTACACACAATTGTGTGCTGTTATTATAGATTGAATATTTTGCCCATTATTTGTACACTATTATTCAAACGTTTGGGGTCAGTAAGATTTTTTAAAATGTATTTGAAAGAAAGCTCCATTTATTTAATCCGAAATATAGTAAAAATAATGTGAAATATTATTACAATTTAAAAATCGCTATTTTCTGTTTGAATATATTTTAAAATGTAATTTATTCCTGTGATGATAAAGCTGACTTTTCAGCACCATTATCCCAGTCTTCAGTGTCACATGATCCTTCAGAAATCATTCTAATATGATGATTGTGTGCTCAAGAAACATTCTTATTATCATCGAATATTGAAAACAGTTGTGCTGCTTAATATTTTTGTGGAAACCAAGAAAGTTTCCAAAATAAATGTCTTTACTGTCTCTTTTGATTATTTTAAACGGTGGTGGTGACTAACCCAAGCTTTTGAGCGGTGTGTACATATAAGGCAACATGGTGTTTGTTCTTCCTGGTTTAAAATCATCCACCTAATCTAATCTCAAGTCACTCAGGAATGGGCAGAACGAACTAGGTCGGTAAAGAGATGACATTTAAACTGAAGTGGACATAAAACAGGTGGACGTGACCTCACCAGAGCATTGGAGGCTCTTTTAAATTTTTGAAGGACTACAGTCTGTTCTGCGCTCAGCCTCTTTCCTGCCGACTCCCTCTTCAGAAGTCTTCTAATCGTCGCTGTGGGCTTCCGCTTGGGCCGCAGACGCACGTGATGATTGCCCAGTTGTCGCCACTGGAAACAGAAGGGGCAGATCATAGACACCGGCAGGGCAGACGCTGGAATGGAGAGAGAAATATAGTGGAGGGTTTTGGCATGGCAACTGGTTAAAATAAAACAGGTGATGCTATGCTCTATTCTGAGGATGGTTTGGCATTTTGGACAGCTTTTCCAATATGTGGTCATCCTACCCGTCTGTCGGACCGTCTTTGAGGTTTGTGAAGGCCGTAGAAATGGATTCTAGTTTTACATCAGGAAATGTGGTCGGACTTAATGGGTTTAACTTGGTTTACCATTCCTTTTCAAAACCAACTGTCTGTTCTGTTGCCTACAAGGTCTTATATAGATTTGGGACTATATGAAAATAAGCACTTTAAAATCCCATATGAGTCTATTAATATAAATAACAAAGCTGAAACTTACCAACGCTCTGATGCCTTTGCCTGTAATAAAAAAGCAGTAAAAGAGTTAGTCTTTAAATCTCAGACTTTACAGGAGTTAGACTGAAATATGGCAGCTTATGAATCATTTATGAGCTTGCAAGAGGTCTTGCACCCAATCTGATGAAGTAACACTGCGGTTTGTTTAGATCTTATAGATTCCTACATGCAGGGTGAAAACTCTGTGTCAGACTATGAATAAAAATATATTTTTCTCACTACCCAATGCTGCACTCGGATATGCTCAATATTCTGTAGCGGTGCGTCTGCAGCAGTCATGCTGCGATCGTTTCCGCACTGAGTCTATTTCTGCTGTGCTGCATGCGCTGAATTAAAGTGACAGCGCATTATTCGCGGTAAAAATTAACATGGATTGACACGGAAATTTAGTAATTACACCATAAATGCATTTAATTAAAGTCTACTGTTTCACAATCAACAGTCAACACATGGCTTTTTGGCTAGATTTAAAACAAGGAAAAACGCCTACCACTCCAGCCCCAGAACCACAAGTCTCACGCAGCATGCAGCTATGCATGTACACCAGCACATAGACCTCTGTACAAGTGCTTTTGAGGGTTAAATCTACAAATAACCACATTTCACTAAACACCCCCAATCACGCAACTGATCCAGTCACACTTCAGAAGAGCCTCAGAAAATGTGAACTTTTCCGCTCTAATCTAGATCTAGATCTAGATCTTAAGCGGATCTTCCTGGCTTTCAGATCAAAGTCATCTGATGCTAAATGAATAACTAAAAAAGGAGCGTTTCTGTGTGTGATTAATGCCTTTCTGTCAGATAAATGATAGTCTATAACCATATCTCTAAACATAGAATACTCCTGGCTAAACATCCAAAGACTTTTAAGTGTTTAATTGTGCCCTACAGTCTTCTAAGAGTGCATCGGTAAAGTGCATTCATATAGGCCATACAACCTAAGTGCAGTCAATGAGAACTGCTTTTAGGGCCACATCAATGATCCTGTCTGTGTCTACTGAAAGAGCAGCAGACAAAGAGAAATATAGGTTTATTTGCAAACGAATGTTCAATTACCAGACTATTGTTTCATCGTGTCCCTTAGTTTGCACTTACAATGGAAGTCTAGCAAGCAAGATGGCTAAGGGGTTTAAAATAAAATGAGATAAGATACACAAGAGCTGCTGCTTCACAAGGACCCCAATTTGGAGTCTGACCTGGGTCATGTCCCGATCCCCTTCCCGCTCTTTCACCCATAATTTCCTTTCTCTATGCCACTTTAGGGTAACACTTTACTTAAAGCATTTATGTATAATGCATTATAAAGAGTTATTAAAGGGTATAAGGCATTATAATTATTCATAATGTGCACTGTAATACATTCTTGTCGTAAATAATTATAACCAAATTTAAAATGCATAGGGAAACAATGAATTAAATAAGATGAATTTAACAATGAATAAGTGTTAAAGTGTTACAATTATTCATGAGATTGTACAATGCATTATAAGGTGCATTACAAGGCATAAGAAATTTTATAATGCAGGCTTTAAGTAAAGTGCTACCGATATTTTTAAAGAAAGGATTTAAAAAAATAAAAATAAAAAAAGCAAAAATGTGAACCTTGTTTCTTGAATTAAAATGTTCCATATTTAGTGTTATGGTTATGATTCAGAAACGATTGTTATGATTGAATATTTAAAATGTATTTTATGATGCTGCTTTTTTGCCCACTATTGTATATTTATTACTATATATACACTACTGCTCAAATGTTTTGAGTTGGTAAGATTTTGTTTTTTGCTTTTGAAAGATGTCTTTTATGCTCAGAAATAAAAAAATGTACTTCAAATGTACACACAATTGTGTGCTGTTATTATAGATTGAATATTTTGCCCATTATTTGTACACTATTATTCAAACGTTTGGGGTCAGTAAGATTTTTTAAAATGTATTTGAAAGAAAGCTCCATTTATTTAATCCGAAATATAGTAAAAATAATGTGAAATATTATTACAATTTAAAAATCGCTATTTTCTGTTTGAATATATTTTAAAATGTAATTTATTCCTGTGATGATAAAGCTGACTTTTCAGCACCATTATCCCAGTCTTCAGTGTCACATGATCCTTCAGAAATCATTCTAATATGATGATTGTGCGCTCAAGAAACATTCTTATTATCATCGAATATTGAAAACAGTTGTGCTGCTTAATATTTTTGTGGAAACCAAGAAAGTTTCCAAAATAAATGTCTTTACTGTCTCTTTTGATTATTTTAAACGGTGGTGGTGACTAACCCAAGCTTTTGAGCGGTGTGTACATATAAGGCAACATGGTGTTTGTTCTTCCTGGTTTAAAATCATCCACCTAATCTAATCTCAAGTCACTCAGGAATGGGCAGAACGAACTAGGTCGGTAAAGAGATGACATTTAAACTGAAGTGGACATAAAACAGGTGGACGTGACCTCACCAGAGCATTGGAGGCTCTTTTAAATTTTTGAAGGACTACAGTCTGTTCTGCGCTCAGCCTCTTTCCTGCCGACTCCCTCTTCAGAAGTCTTCTAATCGTCGCTGTGGGCTTCCGCTTGGGCCGCAGACGCACGTGATGATTGCCCAGTTGTCGCCACTGGAAACAGAAGGGGCAGATCATAGACACCGGCAGGGCAGACGCTGGAATGGAGAGAGAAATATAGTGGAGGGTTTTGGCATGGCAACTGGTTAAAATAAAACAGGTGATGCTATGCTCTATTCTGAGGATGGTTTGGCATTTTGGACAGCTTTTCCAATATGTGGTCATCCTACCCGTCTGTCGGACCGTCTTTGAGGTTTGTGAAGGCCGTAGAAATGGATTCTAGTTTTACATCAGGAAATGTGGTCGGACTTAATGGGTTTAACTTGGTTTACCATTCCTTTTCAAAACCAACTGTCTGTTCTGTTGCCTACAAGGTCTTATATAGATTTGGGACTATATGAAAATAAGCACTTTAAAATCCCATATGAGTCTATTAATATAAATAACAAAGCTGAAACTTACCAATGCTCTGATGCCTTTGCCTGCAATGAAAAAGCAGTAAAGAGTTAGTCTTTAAATCTCAGACTTTACAGGAGTTAGACTCAAGTATCGCAGCTTATGAATCATTTATGAGCTTGCAAGAGGTCTTGCGCCCAATCTGATGAAGTAACACTGCGGTTTGTTTAGATCTTATAGATTCCTACATGCAGGGTGAAAACTCTGTGTCAGACTATGAATAAAAATATATTTTTCTCACTACCCAATGCTGCACTCGGATATGCTCAATATTCTGTCAAATACTAAAAGTACAAGTATTCTCAGGAAGCCTCAGTAAGAATTACGATGTACAAAAATACTGAGGTCAAAGTGTTGTACACACAGCCTGCCAGTGGCCTGAACTCATGGCCATGACTTCCCAGGGGCTTTAATTTCCCTCGAGACTTTATGTGTGTGCATCCTATTTTTGGACATGGTGCTGTTCTGCCTACCTCCTTTATCTAAGCTTCATAATCCTGTCTAAAATTAGTTCACATTGCTAAAAGCTCTGTGTTGTTATTGTGTGGCACGTGCATGTTAATGGGGGCAGGGTTTTTAATTATAATCATCCACTGTGCCATCATCTGCAACTGTTTGTGATGTCACAGCGGATGTTTCACAGCATGCCACAGAGTCGGAGCAGACCCCTTGTTCCCAATGATAAGACATAGAGCCATTATCTGGGTAGTGATGAAGTGTGAATGAAATCATTCCTGCCTGCTATAAAGTCTGATAAATGTCATCCAAACAATGAACAAATTCATCTGTGCCACAAACATTCTCTCTTTATTGAGTTCAGAATTCTTTTTTTCATTCATTTGAATTTGATTTGATTTTTGGTTTGTTTCATTGCTTTGTTTAATTGTATTATTTTTATTTATTTATTAGCTTTTTTTGACAAAGTTGTACATGTGCAGAATAGCAAACAATCACACAGCACTATTTTTATTTATGTTTATTTCATTGATCTGTTTTTATTATTTTAATTTATAGCTTTTCTGAAACTTTCTGAAGTATTTATTTGTTTATTTATTTTTGCTTTATTTCATTGTTTTGTTTAATTGTATTAAGGCTGTAATTTGCCTTTTGAAATAAGAAAAAAGCACCTCTTTTATTTTTGTTTGTTTGTTTTCTTTTGTTTAAAAGTCTTATTTATTATTTCCTTCATTTCTTTGTTTAATTTATTTATTTGATTTTATTTGTTTGTTTTGTTTCTGAGAAAGTGCATTTTTTATTTTTATTTATACATTTTTTTATTGTTTTGTTTAACTGCATAAAGCTTGCTTAATTCCAAAAGGATGTTTTGTTTAATTTTAATTATTTGCCTTTTTGACTGAAAGAAAAACAAAACACAAAGAGCTTTTATTTATTCATTATTTTAATAATTTCAGAATTTTGTTTGACTTTACTATTTTCTCACTTTTATTTATATATTTGCTTATTTTTTGGAAAAAAATTAGTAAACATCCCCGCAGCACTGCCACTGCCAATAAAGGCATGTAATATCACCACATGACTTCTTCCCTGTGGTACTCGAATTCAAATAATTTGTCTATTAATAATGCCGCTCCTTTTAAGTGCTCTCAGAACAAAGATAAAGAACCTTTAAACTCAGTTTACAATGTGCTGCCTCAGCACGATAATATCAACAATGACTAAACTCTTGCTAAATCACTTGAGATAAAAATCAATAAAGAGAATAAGGCCACTGAATCCTCCAGCGGAAACAACAGCTTATCCCAATCGATGTGCCAGGCAGCAAAAGCCTGTGTCTTACAATGACACCTGTGGAGGATATTAAGAGTGATCTTAACAAGTGGTTTATAAATAAAAACGCAACCTCTGTGCACTTCATCAAAAAGGGGTCTCATGTCACGCATACTTTCAGACAAGAGATTCCAGTAACTTACGTACATGTACGCTGTGAGTCAGTGCAGATGTACTGTGTACTCGCAGAGCACAACAAGCCAACTAACGCTTAAAACATGCAGCGCGCTGACCCTGAACATGGGGTCAAGAAACATTTAATCCAAGAAAAACATGCCACAGCCCAAAGCTAAGCTTCATGTATCTTCACTCACTCTGTTGCTAGTACTATCCAAAACATCATGTGATTCATGGCAGCTTCAG